CTATCTGTCAATCATAAATAGACTGTAAAGCGTTGTCTCATATAACGCAATGTGTAAATAAACACTACAATCAGTTCACATTAGTGAATTTTCATGGGGTCATTTTGTAAATATATCACTCTCTCCGACGTGCTAAGTTATAAATACGCTTTTAAATCATGCACGATTATGGCCTGATAAAAATGATCATCATAGTAGCAGCATAATGATGAAACCCGTGTCTACATTCAAATTTCGGGCTAGTGAATTATTTTGTGGGCTAGTAACTTTCAGGCATAGCTAGCCCGACTGGCTAGCAAAATTTGGAAACTATTTCGCACTCTGGTGACAACAAGGAGCAACGTTCTGACATGTATTTCACTTGGTACTCACGACAAGCATAGGGAGTGGGTGTTATCGTGTCCCTGTGTATCATTTTTATGAGATTAGTTGGCAAATTAAACGGAAAATATAAAAAATGTAGTTTTGCTGGTCACGTAGAATGTGACATGTGAAAATGAGACATATCTGTGTTAATAGGATAAAACTATTTAACAAACTGGCCGAGATCTGTAAACGTCGAGTAGCAGATACTCATTGCTGTTCGTGAACCCAAGTTTCCATTTCACACACATATTTGCTCACTGTCCTCGAAACCCTCAGAGAAATTGTTTCAATAATATGTGACCATAAGTATAACTGAATGACGTCATAGTCAGTTATGTAGAAATACACTGATATGACGTCACATTGAAAAGGGCTGCTTCGAAAACAATCATGACAATGGAACAATACGTGTTTCGTCATTCGGTGTTCAGTAAACATAACCCATCAGCGTTATTTTTTTATTAATTAAATCGTGTTCCCGGTACCGTGGTTCTACGGAGTAACCCGTGAAGATCCGGGTTAGAATTGATCTTCAGTAACCCATGCTTGTCATAAGAGGCGACTAATGAGATCGGGTGGTCAGGCTCGCTGACTTGGTTGACACATGTCATCGTATCCAAATTGCTGGATCGGTGCTCATGCTGTTGATCACTGGATTGTCTGGTTCAGACACAATTATTTACAGACCGCCGCCATATAGCTGGAATATTGCTTAGTGCGGCGTAAAACCGAACTCACTCACTCACTCATTCTACGTAAATACAGATTGGTCATAATCCCGACTGTATTTTGTTTCTCTCGTTACCATGGAAACACTGACTTTCATTCTCAAAATGAACCAGGTTATGTCGTTACAGTTATGTAAATTACCCACCCTACAACACCGTCATCAATGGCCTTACTGAATGCTAGGCCAATGGATGTATAGTAATTCTACCCTATAAAGAGACAGTCTAGATTAGCGGACAGTACATGGTGGTGTCTGTTAGAGGAACTATGTGTTGATTCCAGCGTTCGAAATAATCGCCGGCCCGGAGGCCCAGCCCCGGTTGTTCGGGCCGGCAGTTTCAAATATTTGAACTGGAATCTTTCCCATAATTGTTTTCTTTATTAACGTTCGGGAATCATACATGATTCGTCATGTTACGATAACTTACAGCTTCACTGCCTGGTATATCAGCGCTTTGCGCATAGGAATGTCAACACCAGTCTTTAACAAATAAAAAATTGTCTCAGCACCACAGGCTTCGCTAACTGATTTTGTAAAAACAGTGTGAAACTGTGTACAGTGTAGTCTATTTTGTTTATATTGGTTTGACTTTAACAAAATGGGCCTGCAGATTTCATTCAGGGTCTGTAGATTTTAAAGCCTGCAGGCAGCAGGTGCCAGGCCCTGATGGCCAACTGGCAAATTAAAGTATTGCAAACACTGGTTGATTCTGTTTATATTTTGTGAATAATTATCATTAAAACTACCAATTATTTCCTCAAAGACATGTGCAAGTCTAAGTCATCAAGCGAGCGAGTGATGGTTTGAATTTCAGCGTGTATGTCCATTGTTGGTTGATTGAAGTCGCTGAAGTTGAAGCTGAATTGCCCTTCTAAAGAAAGTTACCACTTGAAAAATTCATTTGGCCATTAGTGCCAAACGTATTGTAGCGCTCCTTGTCTGAGACCAGTCGCTGAAAAAAAGTATGTGTTGCTAAAGACCAACTGTCGGTTGCAATCATTGTGAAAGTACAGGGTTCGACCAGTATCGGGGAGCGGTAGGGATAACCCAGAGGTTAAAAAAGCGATTGCTAGACATGCCCGGGTTCGATTCCCCACATGGGTACAATATGTTAAGCCCATTTCTGGTGTCCCCCGCCGTGATATTGCTGAATATTGATCTTAGCGGCGTAAAAACATACTCACTCACTCGTATCATAGACGAAAAAGGCAAGATCACTACCCTTGCACCGACCCAACCGCCTTGCTTCGTGTTAGGTTAGTTGTCTGCCTGCACCTCGTCGAAATCAGATCGGATTATAACGGTCTAACAGACTCTCAGAAATTAACGCCATTGTGTAACAGAATAATAGAAACGTCAAACCAGACCTAGATAGCAGTCGGAACGGACAGGCCGTTGACGTAATATTACAGGCCGATCGTATGTACGTGTTTCGTACCTCGGGGCCATTGCCATTGAATTCCACATACATCATACAGCTGATTCATTAAACGGGTTTGATGGAATAAATCTATATCTCGTGTTTAAATAACCTGGGGAGTCCATTGAAGAATAGCTCCTATAGAGCCTGGCGTAAGAGTCGGTCAAACACAACTGGGTGGACCGTTGTCATCAATTTGCTTGATTGCGTTTGTTGCTTGTTAGTTAGTTTGATACTGCACAGCCTTATTCTATCTATATGAGACCCGTGAAGATCCGGCTTAGAATATTGATCTTCAGTAACCCATGCTTGTCGTAAGAGGCGACTAACGGGATCGGGGGGTCAGGCTCGCTGACTTGGTTGACACATGTCATCGGTTCCCATTTGCGCAGATCGATGCTCATGCTGTTGATCACTGGATTGTCTGGTCCAGACTCGATTATTTACAAACCGCCGCCATATAGCTGGAACATTGGTGAGTGCGGCGTAAACCTAAACTCACTCACTCACTCACTCACTCTATCTATATGACGTCTGTAAATAATGTGACGTAATGCACATTGATATCCACAACCAGATGCGATGATATCCGTCAGCTCGAGCTCATCAGTCGCGTATTACCATAATCATCGGTAGGTGAAGACACATTCTTGTCTGCATCTTCACGGGTTGCTGTGTTCCGATCCACAAAGCATTCGTAACGTTACGACCTTTCGTAACTATACAGTTTACAATAATCTTACGAATGTCGTTGCGCTACGAACGCTTTGTGGATCGCGAACGTGAAGGCAAGTTCTGACCCGGATCTTCACGGGCCTGTCCTTTGGTATTCGGTCTGCTACGACACACGCACGCACGCACGCACGCACCGATACAACAAAAAATCAATGAAACGCACTCAAACTATATTCATTGTTAAATGTTTAGGAAGCATCACTTTGCTACGATGTCAAACTAATGTTTTCGAACTGTTTAGTGTCTTGAACTAAGCATTGAGTTGCTGTCAATAGGCTGCACACAGGCCTGTGTTATACAAATGAAATGTTGTTGGCTACAGGCCTGTGTGATACAGATGAAATATTGCTGACTACAGGACTGTGCGATACAGCTGAATATTGCTGACTACAGGCCTGTGCGATACAGCTGAAATATTTCTGAATACAGGCATGTGCGATACAGCTGAAATATTGCTGAATACAGGCCTGTGTTATACAGCTGAAATATTGCTGAATACAGGCCTGTGTGATACAGCTGAAATATTGCTGACTATACGCTTATATGATACACATGAAATATTGCTGACTATAGGCCTGTGTGATACAGCTGAAATATTGCTGACTACAGGCCTGTGTGATACAGCTGAAATATTGCTGACTATACGCTTATATAATACACATGAAATATTGCTGACTATAGGCCTGTGTGATACAGCTGAAATATTGCTGACTACAGGCCTGTGTGATACAGCTGAAAATATTGCTGACTGCAGGACTGTGTGTGATACAGGTGAAATATTGCTGACTACAGGACTGTGTGATACAGCTGAAATATTGCTGACTACAGGACTGTGTGATACAACTGAAATATTGCTGAATACAGGCCCGTGTGATACAGCTGAAATATTGCTGACTACAGGCCTGTGTGATACAGATGAAATATTGCTGAATACAGGCTTAATGAAATATTTTTTAAAATTGGAGTTTTGTTACAGTAACAAACAAAGTTGAAAGTGAGCCCCAGCAATTCAAGGGAAACTTTGACATCCATCATTCGGTGTTTTCACACGAAAGAAGGGACTGCATCGGCGGAAGGGACACAAATATCTTTCAGGTTAACCCATCATCGTGTGTATTTTACATAAGCATGTACATTTTTTTGAGCTTAGTGTGCACTGTGACAACATGGCCACGGAACTGTAACGTCTGTTTTGGACCTGCCCCGACATTAACGCTCTGTTGTTTGACAGGTGCTCGGGCGGGTGCGCTACCGACAAGCACCTGTTACTTGTCACGGGTCAGATTGCCTCTGAGCTGCGCCAACGCTCACTAGCGAACACAGAGACTACAAGTAAATGGCGTCTGAGGCTCATCTTGGAAGGGCAAAGTGTAATATCTGCCAAAACTCTTCTCTAAGATTCCCCTCTCCTCGCTCAGCTGATTTTCCTGATCAATTGAGCAGCAGCTGATTGAAATCCTCGGGCTGGGCGAGGGTCCGTGCACACCACGCTGCACAGCCTCGTGCTCCACGCGCTAACGGACAACCCCGGTAACAAACAAATGCAACACGTTCTCTCCGATAAATACATGCAAACCGAAGACCGAAACTGATCAGTTAACGGTTATAACATGTCACAATGTCCCGAAATCCAACAGCGAATGCATGCTGCACCGCGACTGCAATTGGACCATTGTGCATTACATTAGTGACGTCACATATCCCGACCAATCAAAACCCCAGATTCTTGCTCACTCCCCTTCCCAGCATATAGGTCGCCGACGATCAGCTGTTCTCGCTCGAGACGACGAAGTACGAGTTGGGGTGTTCGGAATTTATCAAGACAGCGTTTGGATATTAACCCTTGTCCCATTTTATACCGGAATTAGGGGAAACACCCCTTTTCCATCCCACATGCGGCGATAAGGTAGGTTTGCTGGTGTTTTTTCCCTTAAATCTACGGTTATCTGTAGCCCACTTTCTTTGTGTTCCCGACCGGCAGAGCTTTCCGTTCAGCTGGTATGTATCGACTAAACTACGATCAGTCACTGCGATATTGTGTCATTTTCAAGTACATTTATGATCATGTTTGTCATTTTCACGCATGTCATATTCATACGACGCCTGTATTTCTTTGTTTCTGGGTTTTAACCTTGATATATAGGCCTCGGACAAAGAGAAACGATGACGCCGTTACCCAGAATTCCATTTGGTTAATAATTCATGAGCTTCACATACTTCCATAGTGTATACACAGGGAACGCACAATTATAATACTGTACTCAATCCAGTGAAAAATATAATATACATTCAAGCCAGTCATTTGAACAAAAATATCTAAATAATGTACAATAATTGAAAAAAATATAATTATACACAATTTGAAAAATCCTACATTTTCCAAACTGGGTAAAATATGTTTTTTCCCAAGCGAAGCCAGCATCAGCTGCGAGATATTTTTTCTTGGAGTTTGTGAAGATGATCTCAGTGGCTATATTTAGATCAAGTGGTTCAGCGCGGACGACATCAGCTGAGCTCTCGCTATTCACACATCAGCATGTCGGGATTTCTTAACAAAGACCATTTTTTAAAAGCATAGTTTGTTCCAAGAGGAAAAGTAATTTTCATAAAATTCCTACACTTATTAAAAAAGTAACAAATTCACTTTCATCTGATGCTCATTATTATCGCGTTTGCATATGTTGATGAAATTGACATTATTCAAGTTTTGTAGCAAAACACTTCCCTTTATCCACAATAGTGACTTTACATCATCGTACAACTACATTATTTTTTTAGATTCATCGAAAGACAGGGTATATTTTCATTTCCTTTATGTAAATGCTTTTAGAAATATTAGTTTAGATATGGTCATGTGACGTCAGAGCTCGCGACATGCATACGTGCTTACCAACATGAGAAGATCTAGACAGAACAAATTGAATATTGTCATATACTGAAATGGATTAAAAGACAAATTTATTTTTCAAACTTTTACGAAAGTCCTGATTTTAAAGAAAGTCTTCAATATTTTAAAGAAAGAATTCATCATTTAAAAGAAAGTCCAAAGAATTCCAGTAATCCTTTATAGAATCAACCAATAAGCTCTACATTAAACAGTATAATTTAAATGAAATGTTGAACTTTATTATTATTTCATAATGACAGATTTTTTCAAATTATGATATTATGTTTCCTTTTATAGCCAGTTTTCATTATTTTTTTGAATATGTTAAACTGAATATTACCGGCCGAACACTGCGGTAAGGGAAATGATCATCCATTGGAGCGGTATGACTGTAAACCGCTGCCGGAGTTTTGACGCTTTTGTGTCTCCCGATAATTGGTTTGTTTGTTTGGTGGTTCACGCATTGGGGGATTTTGTTTTTCAAGTTCTTGTCCAAGTAGGGATCGTTATATCTATGTTGAAACATATAATACATGGGGTCATTAGCGATTTTATATTGGCTCTGGCTTTCAAACCACGGTCAAAGTTCACAACGCGCGAGAATGAGACAATTGTGACGTCACGATCCGCCCAAACTCGACAGGCGACTTGTGTGATACATAGATGCAACCTATATTATAATATTCAGGTGCAGCTTATGCTGGTATACACGTGCAAGTTGGGCTTGCATCCGGGTGCAACATCTTATCTTTCCTGTTATTGTAAGGCTATACATATTTTGTGCAAAACAAGAACTACAAAAATCGGAATATCGTCACCACAGCTAAAGGAAAGTGTCAGATGTCCTTGAGATCTGTTGAAATACAAACTTGGAAAAATACGAAATAAGTAACATCCGGATACATCGAAGTGGAAGATGTTTTTGAGTAGTGTTGAAATACAAACCTGGAAAAATACGAAACAAGTCACATCCGGATAGATCGAAGTGGAAGATGTTTTTGAGTAGTGTTGAAATACAAACCTGGAAAAATACGAAATAAGTCACATCCGGATATATCGAAGTGGAATATGTTTTTGAGTAGTGTTGAAGTACAAACCTTGAAAAATACAAAATAAGTCACATCCGGATATATCGAAGTGGAATATGTTTTTGAGTAGTGTTGAAATACAAACCTGGAAAAATACGAAATATGTCACATCCGGATATATCGAAGTGGAATATGTTTTTGAGTAGTGTTGAAATACAAACCTGGAAAAATACGAAACAAGTCACATCCGGATATATCGAAGTGAAAGATGTTTTTGAGTAGTGTTGAAATACAAACCTGGAAAAATACGAAATATGTCACATCCGGATATATCGAAGTGGAATATGTTTTTGAGTAGTGTGGAAATACAAACCTGGAAAAATACGAAATAAGTCATATCCGGATATATCGAAGTGGAATATGTTTTTGAGTAGTGTTGAAATACAAACCTGGAAAAATACGAAATATGTCACATCCGGATATATCGAAGTGGAATATGTTTTTGAGTAGTGTTGAAATACAAACCTGGAAAAATACGAAACAAGTCACATCCGGATAGATCGAAGTGGAAGATGTTTTTGAGTAGTGTTGAAATACAAACCTGGAAAAATACGAAATAAGTCACATCCGGATATATCGAAGTGGAATATGTTTTTGAGTAGTGTTGAAGTACAAACCTTGAAAAATACAAAATAAGTCACATCCGGATATATCGAAGTGGAATATGTTTTTGAGTAGTGTTGAAATACAAACCTGGAAAAATACGAAATATGTCACATCCGGATATATCGAAGTGGAATATGTTTTTGAGTAGTGTTGAAATACAAACCTGGAAAAATACGAAACAAGTCACATCCGGATATATCGAAGTGAAAGATGTTTTTGAGTAGTGTTGAAATACAAACCTGGAAAAATACGAAATATGTCACATCCGGATATATCGAAGTGGAATATGTTTTTGAGTAGTGTGGAAATACAAACCTGGAAAAATACGAAATAAGTCACATCCGGATATATCGAAGTGGAATATGTTTTTGAGTAGTGTTGAAATACAAACCTGGAAAAATACGAAATATGTCACATCCGGATATATCGAAGTGGAATATGTTTTTGAGTAGTGTTGAAATACAAACCTGGAAAAATACAAAATAAGTCACATCCGGATATATCGAAGTGGAATATGTTTTTGAGTAGTGTTGAAATACAAACCTGGAAAAATACGAAATATGTCACATCCGGATATATCGAAGTGGAATATGTTTTTGAGTAGTGTTGAAATACAAACCTGGAAAAATACGAAACAAGTCACATCCGGATATATCGAAGTGAAAGATGTTTTTGAGTAGTGTGGAAATACAAATCTGGAAAAATACGAAACAAGTCACATCCGGATATATCGAAGTGGAAGATGTTTTTGAGTAGTGTGGAAATACAAACCTGGAAAAATACGAAATATGTCACATCCGGATATATCGAAGTGGAAGATGTTTTTGAGTAAGGTTAAAATACAAATCTGGAAAAATACGAACAAACATAACTCCCGATATGTCGAACCATGAAATGACTTGAATTCTGACATTATCAACGGATGTCCAGTTTAACGTAGTTCGGAGCAGAGCAAGTAAATCCACTAGCGAACGCCATCATCAAAGTTAGCTCCATCAACGACAAACTGGCCACAGCGAAGTGGTCCGCAATGATGACTTCACAAGTGGTTTTCGCCAACTCATCATTTCAAGGCAGTAGTCTGTTTGTTCTCAAATAGGCGTGACTCCATTGGACGCTAATGGGGGGAGGGTGTTTGGCCATCAGATTATAACCAATAGGTCACTCGTGGGAGAGTGATACAGCTGACACTATTGGAAACATGGCTGATGAGCCAGCGAGATGGCTGCTGTTTCTCATCATATTTACCTGTTTTCACGTTTAACTCACGACAGGGTCGGTGGGTAGCCTAGTGGTTAAAGCGTTTGCTCGTCACGCAGAAGACCCGGGTTCGAATCCAGATTTGGGTATAATGTGTGAAGCCCATTTCTGGTGCCCCCGCCGTGATATTGCTGGAATATTGCTCAAAGCGGCGTAAACCTAAACTCACTCACTCATTGAACCCCGAAAGGTATAAGTCTCGAGATAAACGTCTCTGGATTTACTTGTAAATCATCAATTTGATTGTATGCTAATTGTCATTTTTCAAATGAATCAGTATTTGTTAATCCAAGTCAGTGCTTGCAGCAGCTGATGTTTGTTAATGGTTTTACAGATAAATTACCTTTTGGGCGACATCCAGATGGATATACAGCTGTATGATATAACCAAAACAATCGTCAGTGAAATCCGAACTCCCCTTGTTATTTCTTCTTGTTTTAACCTTTCGTGCTACCGAGTTGCGCCCCTTAGTCACTCTAGGACCTGCTGATTGTTGTTCCGAATCCTGATTCTGGTCATTTGGAATGTTAAGATCGGTAATATCAGCAACTTTGTGAAGAATGAGTGAATTTAATTTAATGCCGCTTTGAGCAGCATTGTCTATGGTTGCACAAACCCGTGTTTCAACATCTTTATCATTGTCTGTGGTTGCACAAGCCCGTGTTTCAACATCTTTATCATTGTCTATGATTGCACAAGCCCGTGTTTCAACATCTTTATCATTGTCTATGGTTGCACAAGCCCGTGTTTCAACATCTTTATCATTGTCTATGGTTGCACAAACCCTTGTTTCAACATCTTTATCATTGTCTATGGTTGCACAAGCCCATGTTTCAACATCTTTATCATTGTCTATGGTTGCACAAGCCCATGTTTCAACATCTTTATCATTGTCTATGGTTGCACAAGCCCGTGTTTCAACATCTTTATCATTGACTATGGTTGCACAACCTGTTTCAACATCTTTATCATTGTCTATAATTGCACAAGCCCGTGTTTCAACATCTTTATCATTGTCTATGGTTGCACAAGCCCGTGTTTCAACATCTTTATCATTGTCTATGG